AAGCGAGTAATCAAACCAAGTCCTACACTGCCAAGTCATCTGGATGGGAACAAGCGCTACATTATAACGCCTGTAGTGCTGGAGCCTTTCATCTTAACCTGATGATAGAAGATCAGAGGGTTCACTTTGGTGTTTGGTGGTCTGCAAGGTTGCGGCACACATGGTCGCAGAACAAGTTGAAGCCCGCGTGAATTGCTTATCTGTTCGGCGGTGCGAGCTGCCCAGAATCCTATTCCTGACGCTGCAACTGGCGATGACATTGATGCCATTGACATTGGACGACCCAGTTGCTCCTCCTGACGCTATCCAAGTTGAGCTGATTGATGCGGGGATGCTCGCTGATGGTGCTGCCGAGCCCGGGTATGCAACACAAACAGAAGAAAAGACCAGCGCCGAAACAGACCTCCGCCCCTTCGACATCCATGCCGGCATCTTCATCGGATGTTCCAGCGTTGGGGACTATTGGTGAGACCTCTCCTTCGGGTACGTCCTGGGAAGCACAAAGTCCAACAAAATGACAGACATGCAGAATCAACAGGGATTGGCACAACGGCCTACTGAGCCACAGCAAAGAGGCAAAGCTCAAAACGGAAACCTGTTAAAACGTGTGGATCGAACGGCTGCGACTCTTGGAGCAAACCTCTGGACCTTGGAAGAAAAATGTGAGGACTTCTGGACCAGACTATCTCAAACAATTGCTTTTCTAATGCCACGTGGACGAACTCCAGAAACATGCCTATCCCATGTCGTTTTTGTGCATGCTGTTGCAACACTTGCAGCTCATCCACCTTCTAGATTGTTGGGTCTGACTCGCTCTGAGTCTATCGTTTGTTTGCTCTGGCATACAGCCGCAACTTCACCGGATGCCGTATTGGAAATACAGATGATAGAACTTTCAAATACATGATCGACTCGCATCTGCAACTCCCTGTGATGTAGCTCTCAATCGACAGTGAAGATCAATGTCACATGACAAGCACAGAAAGCCAAAGGCTGCGGATGAAGGACGGAACCTAGCACAACTCCAACAACTGGGGGCTGGCTGGATTGCGCTAGGCCCAGAAGAGCCACACACACCCAGATTTCTACATTGATAGCTACTCAGTGTTCAGGGGGCATGGAAGCGGCCCTTCAAAGCATCAACAAGGCCTAGCGAAAAACTGTAAGTGTCTCCGCAGAATCATTTTGTCGGCACCGCCGTGAACCTTGAGGAGCTACCGACTTCTGGTGAAACTTCAGGTCATTGGTAGCATGCGGCTTGAAGATATGCTGGCATCCAGCTTGAGTGCATACCCCGGCATGCGCCTTTGCAACGGCCCTTCGGAATCCTTTGCAAATCTCCTCAGCCTGATCTCCAAGCCGCGCAGCCAAATAACCAAACTCTAAAGAGTCAGGTTCGGACCTACTGCGCCGCATAGACTCAACAGATCCTTGAAGAATCTCAAAGAGACCCTCAGGACACCCCTTTCCTCCGGGTGCCAGCTCAGATGGCTGTGACGGTGTAACGCCAGGACGGCCTGAGCTTGTTAGCATCTTTTGCTATGAGACATAGAGACACTCGTTAATGATCGTTAATGTGCATCGGATGCCGCTCAAGCAGTTTCAGGCCATTCTTTGGACACCCTCCTTCATGTCCAGAATGCACACCATCATAGACCACAGCGCCATCTAAACGTTGGATCGACATAGCTTCAATCTTCTGGTGGCCCTGGTGTTAGGGGCCCACTCCACAACCTGCAATTATTCCTCATGCCGAGGCGCTCGGCATCGGTCACCTCGCGGCAATGTCTTCGTCCCTTTATGGATCGAGGTAAACACAGCAAAGACTTGACACGCAACAATTACGTTTGCAACCCGAAGCTCATGAGCTGAAGGTATGGTTCCAAGAAGTCGCGTTCCAAATGCGTTCTCTCTCGCTTGCCCTTTTCAATCTGCTTGTTTTCTTTCTTTCTTCATTGTGTTGTTTTCGTTCGTGCCATAGGGTGTCGCTCCAGTGGTGCTTGCGGAGGTAGGTCCACACAGCACTCGACACGATGTTTGACGAAATCCTTGGGTGCGCTGTTCTAGAGTGATAGCCCGACATGTCACATCATGCTCTTCCTTCATGCACCCAGAAGCTTCACGAGTCTAGGCTAATGCTGCCAGTGAAAGCATGCAACCGCTTTTCATCTGCATGAATACCGGCCGGCTCCACAGGACTTGTCTGCTGTGTCTTGCTCAGAATCTGGTCAGAGAGCGCTCATGAGCCAGCTCTAAAGCCAACGTCAAACTCAAGGCTTAGGCAAAAAAGAGGTGCACTTATGTCCAGGCAGCTTAGCTGTCGCTGGAGTATCCAAGCTGAGCTTGCATCGTGCGGTACCTGGCTTCGATGCTGAGTCAAGTATGTTCTGAGACATACCTCAAACCACTGTGTCGAACGAGGACATACTCCAAGTGTTATCCAGCAGGTGGGCAAACCAAGCGGAGGGCACTGCTGAAGGAGCTTCGGCGGCATCTTCTTGCTAGCTTCCAAAGCCTGAGCCTCGCAAACATGCCTGTCTTTCCATGCTCGAACAAGACTTGCCCTCGAAAAGAAATTCAACATCCGCCAACCCAATCCTCCATGTTGATGCTGGTCAGACGCCTATGCCTTGACGTCCCATGCTGCAACATTTTGCCCTGCTGTCCTCGCAATCTTTGTCATTGCTGTGTGTGGCTATGGCCCCGCTCCTCGGAAGGGAAGTCTCCAGCGCAGGCAGGCCAGGAAGATCTAGGAGGTATACATCTGGCTTTTCAACAGCTGCTGCTCCCTGTCTTGGAGAGCAGTGCTCTGGTTGTGCTGCATACCAGCTGAACATCATGGATGCAGCCCAGGCACCGAGACGTCAGATTCTGACTGTTTCGATGGAGGTCAGCCTGACTTGTCGCCACTGACCCGCTGAAATGCATGAATCACAGATGCAAGTAGCCAAGTGTTTCAACGTCGAATAGTTGACACTGCACTTGGCCGCAACAACTGAGGCAGCTCGCCACGATGCTAATCGGAGTTTTACAAAAAAGCATGGACACAGGGCCCCTCAGCATCCCCCAGTTCCCACCTGCTTGGCGCTTTCAAGAATCTTGCTCCGCTCCTCGTCCGTCATGAACTCGCCAAGCCAGAAATCCCTTTGCTGTTGCAGTTTTGACAACCGAGCATCATACATGCAGGCAGCGTCAGTTCTTTCACACGTAAGCTGCGACACGAGCTGCACCAAGCGAGCAACTTCTCGGTCAAAGCTTTCACTCGAGTCAGAAAACTTTTCGAAGGACAGGCGGATGGTGTCCTGCAAAAGCTCAGTTGCACGACGAGACTGTTCGCATTATAGTTGTCACTCTCATTTAGCAGCAGCATCAGTAACGGCTGAATCATGCCAACTTTGCTGCTCTAAATGTTTTGCACTTCTAGCTGCTGGCTTTATTTCTGCAACTGTTGCTGGTACTGCTACTTGTGCTTCTTCTACCTCGCTGGCCTGTTCTAAAATAAAAATGCGCGGCCGGATTTCAATTCGAAATCTCGCCAATGCCCTCTGAGGAATCTATCCGTGCCATTCCGTAACAGGGCAGCATTCAGTAATCCGCTGCTGTAGAATCTGCATCGGGCTTCGAAGCTCGGTCGCTTTGAGGGGCTGGGATGGTTTGAACAGCTATAAGATGTCCTGATAACCTAAACAACTAATAAGACTATCTGTCTGTTCTGTACCCCATGAAATCCGTAATCCTACTACCTGACAGTCTGCATAGGGATTGCGGATTAGTTTTGAACAGTCTAGCTTCGTCTGCTGCTGCACGAACGACTACTACTAACAGCAACAGCACCCGCAACAGCAACAGCAGCAAAAGAAAAAGAAGCGGAACAAGAAGAACAAGCGCAAGAGAAAGATGGAAGACAAGGTGAACACACCTTTTGCGCACGCAATTCCACAGGTGATCCGCACATATAATTTGTTGCCAGGGTGGACACTGCATACCCTTCCCCCGCCCAACAAATCAGGTTGTCTAAGCCCAAAGGCCCAGGGTTCCATGCCAGCAGCAGCAGCCGCAGCCGCGCCCACTGCCGCCGCCACCACCGCCACCGCCGCTACCGCCTCCACCACCACCACCACCACCGCCGCCGCCGCCGCCGCGGACAGCGCCACCTCCACCGCCGCCACCGCCAGCGGCAGCAGCCACAGCAGCACCAGCAAAAACAAAAGCAGACACCAACAACACCGCCACCGCCACCGCTACCGCCGCCGTCGCCACCCCGGCCTCCACCGCCGCTGCCGCCATCGCCACCTCCACTGCCACCGCTGCTCCCGGCATCGGCAATACCACTGCCGACGTCACCGGCAACGCCACCAGCAACACCAACATCATCAACACCACCAACAACAACCACAACCACAACCATCATCATCACCGCCGGCGCCACATGCAGCAGCACCACGACGATAACGAATTCTGCTGCTGCTATTTATTGCTACTGCTGTGACTGACAAGTTCCACTGCCATACCACCACTACCCCAAACTAAACTTCAAGAACAGCGGCAAGAACATCACCGTCTTTTTATCTAGGCTGGTGCAAGTTTGTCCTCAGCGGGATTCGCGAATATTGCAGTCATATTCTGTACTGTCGTGAGCATCCTTTCCTTATTGTCCACTGCTGCCCACTAGGGGCATGAGCAGGCGGAGGCAAACTCCTCAATGGCTCAACTTGCTTGTCCCTGCCTGTCACATGGGCGACCAACAGTATTGGTAGCCAATAAGCCCCACACCCACTAATCAACCATTCGTTTAGAAGCTTGAGGCAACCAGCTTATCACGAGCCCTATAAACCCCACGAGACTGGCACTCTTTTGCGTCGAGCGGCTGCTGCGAATTGCACGCCTTCCTAGGTTGCATTACGCATGTTGCTGCTGAGCCCAAACTTGGAAGGCATTTGTTCCGCGGTGGGTTGCAAGTACAGCTGATGCGCGTGGTAGCTAGGGCCTGCTAGGGCACTTCAAGAATATACGAGTGAGCTGATTGCCTTCATGGCGATTGAGGGGGCAAATCTGTCCGGCATAGAACACGCTTGGCCAATGCAACCAGAAGGACTGCTGGGTTCGCTAAAGAGTACGGTCAGTGCAGCCCAAGGATCTTCTGGGCCCATGGTCATAATCAACCCGGGAGGCCACAAGGTCACGTAGCCCAACTCCTGGTGTCAGCATATTTGCGTTGGCAGCTGCTACCCGGTAGCCGTGCGGCTTTCAAGCACAGTCCGTGCCTCGGCTTATCCCTACAGAATGGTATGGATCGCGCTACAAGATCATGAAAGAGGCTCCTGTGAGGCTTTGGAATGAAGAGGCATGGAACTGAGAAGCTCAATGATCCACAGGCTGTGGCCCATACTGTATTTCCTGTCCCCAAATGCCTTCCCATGACCCCATCATTGTCACAGATTGCCCCGCCTCCCCACGATGATGGTAGCAATATGCCGAGACGATCATCGCAATTGGGTCTCCTGAGCAGCGGGTGTTCAATCATACCAAGGCAACGTACAGCGTACGCAGGATTGATCATCAAAAGTCTTCGTTTGTAAGGCTCGGCTCTCAAGTCAAACTGGGCAAGCTGCGTACAGAGCCGGCCACGCGCATTCCGTTCGGCTGCGCTGCCACGCGCTCATTCCTAGTCATTTGCACATTTTCAGGAACGGCGGCTCTACTGTGGCTGCCGGTGTAGCCGTGGGCGAGTATGACACAACAAAGGGTTGAGTGCTGTGTATCATGCTGAAACATGTTGCTAGATCTCACTCTGGAAAGTGGCGACTGCAAGTGCTTGATGCATGAGGCTGGGCTCTGTTCTTGTCCAAGAAGCTGATCCATGTCCGGGCCGTAAATGTCAACCAGAGTCCGGATGGGAGCATCGTAGTGCCTGCAGAAGCTATGGCGAACTTCAAGCCACAAACTGTGCGCTGCGCTGCATGACTTGTATGAATTTAGTTTAGTCCGCCCTGAAATTTTGAGTCTATGGCTTGCGCGTGGTCCTGAATCAATACACCTTGGCCCTCAAGCGCAAGCTTGTTCTCATTAAAGCCGCGTCTTCTTTTCTGTATGGCAGGTGCTATTGCTGAACTTCATCAGTCATGAACATGACTTCGCCGCTTGTGCTTGTATAGGCATCCTGGAGCACACCATACATGCCCAGCAGACCCATACGCACGACAACTTACAGCCCCACAGTCACTTATGTATTTGCAGGGCAGCCCCAGGAAAATATCAGAATTGTCCACGAGGCTGCTCATTATACTTACTGGCCATGTGCCTGCAACCTCAAAGGTACGTATGAGAACGTGGCAGTCATTGCCTGAGACATGCGCAGAGACGAGGAGTGACATCCATGCGAAACTCATGTAGCAGGCACAGGCTGCCTGCACCAGTTTTCGTTATAGATGATCCTCAGCTGATGCCAGTCAAGTCAAAACATATTTGGGAGCAGGCTCCAGACATGCTTGTGCCACCCGGGCTCTTGTTGAAGCACGGCTGCTGCCACACGCCAATTGCAGCATCGGGCGCGCCAAGTGGCCCGAAAATGAAGTTCTGCAGCTCCTGTTTCAGCAGCCAGCGTCTGAGGTTAACGAGTCTGAGTGATGATTTCTAGCTTGCCAGAAGATCCTAGTCCCAAGCTTCGCGGTCAGGTCTCTCAACAATGCTTTTTAAGGCGCCTGTCCTGCATGAGGAAAACACCCGACTTGTGGTATGCCACAGCTGTGAACCTCAACGACTCCTCAGTTGAGTCTCTGGCTCAACACCGAACACTGGATCTTGAACTCTGGCATCTGAGTCTAGCCATGTGGCAGTTTACTTGTGGCCTTCTGATATGGCCGAAGCGTGAACATTCTTTTTTGCACCACCAGGTCTCCCAGGGCTTCTTTGCCTTCTGCCGACGGTCCCGTACTTGTCTCTGAACCATGGAGAGGCCTAACTCTGGATCAGCTTCGTGCAGTGTGCTGGAGGGACTGCATCCTGAGTTTCAGTCGCAAATTGAAGCATCGAAAGATTGTCCATCACAGTTGGAAACTTGTCTTCGCCGTGCATTCCCGCCTAAAGAAACAAGAAAAGAATGAGTAGTCGAGTAGTCAAGCATCTCTGCGTCAAGGCAACATCTGCAGAACTATCCAAACCCTTCCGGAGAGGATGGCCAGAAGCTGCGGGCTCAGCCTCCAACTTGGCACGCGCAGCGCAAAAGAAACAAAGACCAAGAAGGTTCCGCATGGCGGCGCCAGCGCGTGAAGGCCACAAAAGATATTTCTGTTGGGCGGCAACGCCAAGTAAGCTGCTCAGGTCTAACTCCATGCTGGGCACGTTTTCCGTTGCTACCTTGAAGCATTGTAGCGCTTCGTCAAACTTCAAGCATACATGCTTGGCCTTCTGCGCATGCACGAACCCATAAGCTCCTATGGCCGTAAGGCCTCTGTATGCGAAAGACGGAAACTACAGCTTCATGAAGGCCCAGAGTGGGGTTTCTTGAGCCTCAGCAGCAGCGAGCAGAAACTGTTCTGCTAGTCAGAATGACTGCTATGTACTGTCAGCAGCTAACGAATTTGCAACACGCTGAAGCCCTCAAAAAACCTCGGGGAGGCCTTTGGCGAGCCCTCATGACGCACCATGGAAGGTTGCTCATTGGAGCGCGGGGTCTCCGTCCTGAGAAACAGGGCAGGCTGACCGTGCAATGCAGCTACAATCTGGCAAGTACAATGATTATCCCTTGAATGCTGCAATTGTTAGACCCTCGACTCTAGGTGTGATCCTGACTGCTCATCAAAATGGCTTCTGATCAAAACCATGTGCCCCACGTCAACGTCCCTATGCTGCCTGATGCGGAGCGTCTGGATCGCACACTTGATGTCGAGGGTTCGGATAAATGTGTGAGCACAGCATAGTCTGTTTTACGATAGTATGGAACGGAGGAGTTTGGGACGGAATTCGGGGACTTGTTCCGGACCTCTGGATCGGGGTCTGGATCGGGATGTCCGTTGCCCCTTGCTTTGGACCAGTCAAATTGAGCGGTAGCCACATGATTTCTGGTTGACGCCCCGAGAACATCCGACGAGCACACGGTATAACTGTGGCAGCTGCGGCAGGCAGCATCAAGCGGGCTGCAACCGTTCTGTATCTGCATGGAAGTATTTTTTAATTTCCACTTGTCCAGAAGAAAACAGCCCAAGAACGAAGTTATGAGATCCGGTGATCTTTGCACTCAACCAGAAACGCACTTTGAACAATTGATCAGCTGTGCTGCTGATATATCCAGGTACCTCCAGAACCTGTAGCTTGGAATCATTTGGAACCGTTGCGGGCCCAAGCTGGGTGGGGACTTGGGGACACCTCCGCCCAAGCATCCCTGAGGGCAGAACTCACCTTCGACAGGCAAGTCGCCTGCCTTGGTGTTGCAAGATCACGACCGATAAGAAAAGGTGGAAGTGACCTGACCCTTGTCACATGCGGCTGCTACTTGGATCTGCGTACTGCTCACAAGCAGGGAGTCCTGCCACTGATGGACCGGCCAAGGCCAAATCTAGCTGACTTGGTTTTCGAGTTCAAGCCAGAGCTCATCCTGTAATATGTTGCTGTTTTGCGATGCGTCTGAGCACTCATGTGGCTGCTTGGGTCCGCGCCTCCATGCTCACACGCGGAAATCAGCAGGCAGTGAAATCAGTTCAGCCCATGCTCACACCGAAGATCACCAGGTGGACAAGTTGATCGCATGGCTGAGCCCTGCTGAGCCCCGAACCCCCGCCATGTCGGGTTGCTTTGCCGGAGACCTGAGTTGTGAGTGAGCTGTGAGCGCTAGGAGATGCATATCGATGTCTCCCAACAACATTACCTGCTTTGGGGCAACCGTGTGGCAGCAGACAGGTAGTCCATGCCCTATGACTTGTTCCTGTCCCAATTCTGAGAAGATTTCCAGGCAGAGTTCTTGAACCATATGACAATGTGACATATCATATCAGTAATGCCAACAAGTGCAGGGAGGCATGAAAAATCACTCACAACAAGGCATGTCTCTTTCTGACAGGATTTTCCTGAAGGCAGTCACTGCACTTCCGCTTTGTTGGCGGGCGCGTCAGCATCTTCCTGATGTTGCCACGAAGCTTGGGCTCAATAGCCCGGATCCGGCAAACAAAACTTCACACTGCAACTGATTTTACTTCAGCTAAAAAGTCTACTTCTAAATCTGGCCTGGAGAATGCGCTGGCGGGTCGGGCTTTTGCACACACGATGCACCTGGCAATTGCACAAAGGCCTTATCTTGCAAAGCCCAGCATAACGACTGTCACGCGTAGTGCCCAAATAGTGCCATGCAGTGCCATTTATGCCTCATGGACAAGTGGCTTGTGCAGAACAGTGCTACTTACATGGTACTGTAACTCATGTGAGGCTCAAACGGTAAATTTGTTAGCAACCACATAGCACGCGGCGTAGCTTCCTGCATGACAGCTTGCCCTCCATTGTTGCTGCCAAGGTACTGGTGCGATTCGAGATGTTTCCGGGCAGCCTGTGCATTAGCTTCAGCCTTCCGTCCAGACATCTGGCCAAAGATCTCCACACCTGCCACCAGTGGCTTTAACGGCAAGAACGCCATCTGTCTGCCCACCTCCCAAATCCTTCCAAGACATGTGAGCGCGCGCTGCCTTCTGTCTGATTCTATCGGCCCGAGGATTCAGAGATGCAGAGGTTAGGAACTACGTACAATGAACTTTGGTGCTGGCAGTGCTGGAGGCATTCGTTACTCAACCAGGACAGATTTCGCATCGTAGTGCTTCGCAGTATCGCACACAAGTTTCCAGACCTGAAGGCGTCAACTGCCACACGTCGCTGGCCGCAGATGCCACGCCAGTCCCGGCGGAGACTAGGGACAGGGGCTTGGACCTCGCTGCCATGCTGTAGAGATTCGCAAAGACAATCAAGTTGATGCTGCATTCTAACACATCAAGTAGCTGTATTCGAGCCCGTGGAAAATAGTCAGCACCCCAGCCATCCTTTCGAATTTTTAAATTCTGCCTGTCGAGTCGGTTTGTCCACAAACTGCCTGGCCCACCTATCCCTTGATGTCACATGTCATTTGAAAGCCGTGCATTCATCGAGAAGGTGACCTATCAAAGATAGTCAGGACAGGTGCAGACAATCACAAGGATCGTGGGGGTTGGGGTCGCGATCCTCGTAACTGTTGTCGCTGTCGCAAACCCTCGGAACCGCGTGGCCATTTTGAAAAGTCTCAACCGTCACCGGCATCGTGGCAGTCGAGGTCGCTATCCCCGCAACTGTCCTCGCTCAGGACCCTCGTATAATATTGTGGACAGTCACGGGGTGGCTTTAAAGAAGCGGGGGGGTTCGAGGGGCGCAGCCCCCCTCATTTGCGAACAAAATGATCCAACCAACCTTCCCTCACTGCAAACATGGCAATAACATGATGATGCCTGCTTATCTATTGCATGCATGGATGGCTTTAGCCGGGGGGTTGGGGGGACGCAGCCCCACACATTTGCAAAGAACATGATCCGCACAACTTTCCCTTACTGCAAACACCGTGATGGCATGATGCTTCTTTTTCATTGCAAGCCTCAAAACAGATGGGGGTTGGGGGGCAGCCCCCCGCACTTGCACACAACATGATCCGCACAACCCTCGCCTACTGCAAAATTGGACATGTGTATTTCCTGATAGGGCTTCCCTGCCAACATCTCCGTTCAGGGCTTAGGGCTTGCGAGCCAACATCTCTTTTCGGGGCTGAAGGTTTGCCAGCCAACATTTTCTCTTAGAACTCATAGTTTGCCGGCCTGTTGTTGTTTTTTGCTTCGTTCTTTCTTCCTTTCATTCCGGCTTTCTGATTTCCTGTTCTTCTTTCTTGCCTTCCTTACTACTTGCCTTCTTTTCCTTGTCCAAGAGGATCCAAGGGTCCAAAAGGGAAGACAGTTAGGAGGATCGTGACCCCGACCCTTGGGATCCCTGTACACTTGTCCAACTGCAAAAGAATGCGTGGGTCCAAAAGCGACGAGTTACGAGGATCGCGATCGCGACCCGCACGAGCCCTGTGACTGGCCACATCTGGCTAGTGGAATACATATTGATGACGATAAGTTTTGACGATAATTCACTTTTTTGACTACTTATGAGGGATAGGCATCCCAATCATCAGAGGGTCTCCAACTTTCGAAACATGTGGCCTGCGCGCTCGCAGCACCAAATCCAGGCCCGGACTGCAGTAGAAAAGCTTCCTTGGAAAAGGCTGTGGGACAGTTTTACACAGGCCCAGCATGTTTATCCAACGCATCCAGGCAGCCGCGCGCCACGCGAAAGGAGGAAGCCACGGTTCAGCGTCGGCATTCCTATTCTCTCTGCCAGAGCCTGCCAACTTCCAGCTTGCAAAGGCTTTGTTCCTGTACGAGTACTGTAAGCCGTTTTGGTGCTAGCAAGGCCGTCATGTCTGCATGTCTTGGTCTTCGGCGGCGTACAGCAGCATGAGCAATTCCTATGACGCTCTGGTCAGCATGCCGCGTGCAATGGAGTTCCTGATCGTGTGAGCATGACGTTATGTTGGAGCATGAGACAAAAACTTAGTCGTCTTCTTCAGTCCTGAAATCACAGGCCACAGGTTCATGGAACAGTGTGTTTCAACTGGAGTCTATTGCCGCCTAAGTACAGTACCCCAAAACAGTTTATTTAACACGTTGACACACATCCTTAGATGAAAGGGCCTCAGGCAGCTTCTGGGACAGCTCCACTGGCAGTTTGCCAGAAGACCGTATGCCAATGCCACCCACATCTGCCTGTCAGAGCTGCCATCCTCCCATTCTGTCAAAAAAAGAACTCCAGCTTAAGGTTCCAATCGATCATGAAACATAGGCCATAGGCTCTTTCAGTTCATGCCACCTGGTCAACACTGCCACAGAAAATCGCCAGATCCATCTGTCATACCCGACTTGGCTGCACGAAATGCTGGGAAACCCTTGTACTCACTCGTGGGCTCTCCAGCGTCTATACTACATCTCAAGGCAGCTATACTGCTGAGGAGGGGGGAACCTGTACCGAACCCCAGTTGGAAAACGGAGGCTGAATACTCCTGGGCTCCTGGCCGTCATCCTTCAGGCTAGCTTCAGCGCATATCTTAGAAGCACCAGCCCCGCAGTCTCTTGAAGGTTCCCGGGTCACCGTCTACGAATCTTGGAGGACCTCACATCTGCAAACAACAGCGCAGCCGGAAAGAGTGCGCCTCCACCACCGCCCGCAGCGAAGCAGATACGCGTGGAACTTCAGGCCACTCTCGCACTTTGGCAAGCAGTGCCACGAAGAACCCCCCGGTGTTCGAGAGGAAGGGAAGGCAGCGCACACCTGATGTCCAGGAACAAACAACAGCTGCAAGGTGGTAGAAGGCCATCTATAGGCCCTGCAGGTTGCAACGGCACTAGATATTCGCAACCCAGCTTAGCATGTTGCACTGCAAGCTGCAAACGAGCAGTTTGCAAATGGCATGCAAAGTCAACGTATACATGAGCAATCTCATTCGCCACCAACTCCGCCAGCAGATTACCATTTATCATGAAAGTGCATACATACGACGGACAAACCAAAGTTGCTGTGTAGTCTTGGTCGCCCTGTTGCCTGCGCCTGCACTGGACGACGAAATTAGCTTGCCAAGGGGCAGCGCTGCAACTTCAATTCCTGCTGGCAAGAGGAAGCTGCACTGTACTTTGGTGTTCTGCTGTCATTCGCCGGTAAGGTGTCCACGCTCAAGCCAGCAGTGGAGTCAAAGACTCTTCTTCTATGGGCTATGCAAGGCTCTAAGGCCCTGCCCTCTCTCTCTCTCTCTCTCTCTCCTACATGGTTTCCAAGTGGCCGATAAACTCGACATCCAGGCCTGGGATATCTGGGATTCAGAATGCTTCAGTCTTGATTGGGACTGCTTGGAGGGCCACACCGGGGTTGTCCAATATTCCTTTACCTGAAAACCACCCTCTCGCCGTGCCTTTCGCGGACCTTTCGTGGTCTTTCGCGGCCCAAGGAAAACCCACAAAAGCTTCATCTGACGACGATAATAGCACCTATGCTGACACACATTATATTACCCTTTCGCCGG